AAACTTAGATATTTGGAAATTTATAGCCATGAAATTTGTCATTGGATCAGTGATTAAGCTAACTAAATATAATAATTCTTTTTCTTTTCCTTTTACCTTAATGGCTTTTTATAAATCATCAAACAATGAAAACTTTAGCAAAGTAAGGACCATATTCAAGTACCAACACAACTAATCCATATCATCCAGCAACATACAAGTGATTAATTTGTTACTTATATATTCTAAGTGCAACTAAATTTGACATATAATGTGAATCAAAAGTTACCCACTTTTTGCTTCCTTTATCATTTTGAGTTCCTTTATCTTTCTAGAGTCATAATGTTATTAGCTCACATATTCAAAGTTATTTAAAATATCATGGTCTTGTAAATCAAGCATAAGGTGACAACTACTAATATAAAAATCAGAGCAGTTTATTGTATTACATTTTGATTTAGTTAACTGTGATGTGATTGCATGAAGTTCTGTAACATTCTCTGGAAATTTTACTCTTTTCATTGTATCAAAAGAAACATGAAAGCTGTGATCACTAATGAGTGCTCTACATAATATAGGTATTCATAATCTGCTGGCCAAAGTCTTAATAGAATGGCTTTGTTCAATGACCTGTACCTTTTTAGGGACTAGATTCTGATACAAATACAGGGAAGCCAGAAGAAACCTTTCAAGAGATTATTTCATCATTTATGCTTTCCTTCACTCATAGGTTCATTAACTCTTTCACCAGTACTTGAATAAACTAAAGGAGGAAGGATTGAATTGATTATTTCTAGATGTGTTACACAACAAAGAAAAACCAGAGAAAGACAGTTTAATGAAAAAGACATATCAAATGGTCTGTCTTGAGAAAATTCATGCAAAAAAAAAAAAAAAAAACTGGTTGCCAAAGATAGAAGGGGTCAAGAGACTAAAGAAAGAGTAGCAAATCCAGGATTATACAAAGCAGTTTACTGGGGGAGCTGATGGACAAAGTGTGATTTCCATCCACCATAAAACAATGGATCCCTGTTCCACCAGGCAGGATGAAAAGGTTTATACAGACAAAGGTGGCTTGTGGCTAATTGGAATGCACCTGGACTTTTTCTAGGAGTCAGATAAAGACATTCTGTGAATCAGATGAATTTCATACCACAGCAGCAGATTGTCTTACTGACTTTGTTTACCCTACCAAAGGGTTTGGAATGAACCTCATCTAGAAGCCAAGACAGCTATTACATCCAAGATGGCAGTGGTCCCTGTAATATAGGCAAAGAGAGTAAAATAAATCAACTGAAATGTCTCTTGGGAGATGAGGTGTGATGTTGCTAATATCTCCTTTGTATAACTAGCCTACCTGGAGGCAGTAACACTGACCAAGTGACTAAGCGAGTTGTACAAGATAAGACTTCTCAAAGCCAAGTAGCTTTCTTATTCTTATATTTTGGGATATGATAATTGATATAAGCAGATTTTTCTCCCTACATAAAAGGAACATTGTATTTGTTAAAACAGTGGCATAGGGGCCTTGCGCCGTGGCTCACTTGGCTAATCCTCTGCCTGCAGCGCAGGCATCCCATATGGACACCAGGTTCTAGTCCCAGCTGCTCCTTTTCCAGTCCAGCTCTCTGCTTTGTGGCCCGGGAAGGCAGTGGAGGATGACCCAAGTGCTTGGGCCCTGCACCCGCATGGGAGACCAGGAGGAAGCACCTGGCTCCTGGCTTCGGATCAGCGCAGCGCTGGCCATGGCGGCCACTTGGGGGGTGAACCAATGGAAGGAAGACCTTTCTCTCTCTCTCTCTCTCTCTCTCTCTCACTGTCTGTAACTCTACCTGTCAAATAAATAAATAATATTTTAAAAAAACAGTGGCATAATCCCTTAAGCTACAGCATTGAAAAAATGATTATCATTTCCTTTAAACAGTTCACCATCAAGTAGAGAAGTGACCACAGAAGCTCCCATTTAGCTGATCTCTTGACCTCTTATAGATCATCACTGCACCTTGGCCAAAATAATTTTTCTAAACCTCACATCTGAGCACATCACACACACACCTTCCCCTCCTATGGAAACTCCATGCTACCCCTAACTTTCCTTATTAGGTCCTCATGAATTGGACCCTGCTTCCTCCCTAGCCTCTTCTTTTACTGTCCTGCACCTTGCACTGGAATTTCTAGACTAATTTAATTTTTCTGTTTCTCAAGTTCTCCCTCACATCAAGCTTTAATCTGTCATTTCCTCTGCCTGGATTCTCTTCCTGTATTTGCCCAGTTAATGTCAACCTTCTCTGACTCATGTGTGTTTCCTTACATCATAATTTCACTACCATGAGACTTGCTCACTTTTTATTTCCCCAGGTCCCCTTATACATGATAAGCAACAAAGTACACTGTCTGTCTTATTAGCATTGGCTACCCCATCCCAACTACACAGTAGATATTCATTCATACGTTGTGTTGATAGTCACTGTGCACCCAAAATGTGGCATGCGTTCTATGATGAGTAAGGAGGACATATATCTGGAAATAAAACAGACTAGGATGCTGCCTTCCAGAGCTTTTGACAAGCAACTAAAGCAAACCAAGTACACACATTATCAGGGTGTGTGTGAGAATACCAGGGCTCATCTAGGAGAGCGTGTCTACATCTCTAGGTGGAAGGGAAACAGGAGCAGAGGAGCCACCACAAAGAAAAGGCTCTTTCCTGAAGCTTTAAAGATAGGGAGGCTGGAATTTTTGGTGAAAAGATGAGGCCAAACCACATTCTAGGTACTGGAATCACAATAAAAATGTAATAACGTGGAAGATCCTAAAACGTGGCTGGGGTGTAGAGGTAGTTAGGGGAAACTACAAGTAGTTTCAGCACTATTGGGCATGGAGTGGCATTTGTCCGGGATAGTGAAATGAGATGAAACAGGAAAAGGTGAAAGTTACAAAGATCACAAGAATATTTTATATAGACAATAGGGATCCATTGGATAATTTTAATTGGGAGAAGTGAATGGAAAAGAGATGGGTAATTAGGATATGAAATAGGTGAAGAGAAAAGAGGCAGAAGGTAAGACTTAGTGACCAAGATGATGATCTTCTGCTTTGTGGGAAATAACAGGGGGGACCAGAGGGCTTGCAAGGAGAAAAACTCCCAACCTGCCAACAGTATTGTGCCACAAAGAGTAAAGTTTGGGACAGCGATGTGGCACAGCGGGTTAAAGCCCTGGCCTGAAGCGCCGGCATCCCATATGGGCACCAGTTCTAGTCCCGGCTGCTCCTCTTCCAATCCAGCTCTCTGCTAGGGCCTGGGATAGCTGTAGAAGATGGCCCAAGTCCTTGGGCCCCTGCACCCATGCGGGAGATCTGGAAGAAACTCCTGGCTCCTGACTTCGGATCGGTGCAGCTCCAGCTGTTGTGGCCATCTGGGGAGTGAACCAGTGAATGGAAGACCTCTCTCTCTGTCTCTCCCTCTCTCTGTAACTCTGTCTTTCAAATAAATAAAATAAATCTTTAAAAAAAAAGAAGTAAAAGAGTAAAGTTTTCAAAACCTCCTTAGGATTACCCTGTTGAAGTGTAAATGTGTTTTTCCCTAGCTTTTCAAATGCACATGTATTCTTCAGGGTGCTTGACATCCACACAGTTTAATGCATCAGAATTTATATAAACACCCATATGTTTGTGTCTCTCTTATTCTCAGGGTCTAGAGGAAGCACAGGTCTCAGCACAGAGAATAGACCCAGAAAAGGGGCAGAAAGTATACATCCTGTGCCTTACACTGTTCTAGCAGTACGAGAAGCATGAGTTGGCAACGGCTTTCTCTGCATTCACTATCGCTCTTCAAAATAATGCGGCATCCTTGCTTTTATTTCTGAATTTTTTTTTTCATATTCTTCACAATGACCACTAATTGCTTTTGAAATTAGAAAAAAAAAAGACTTTCTGACAACAATAATGTGCAAAAAAATCTCAGCAGTAATGAGGAAGGGTGAAAACAGCAAACAAACAAACAAAAAAAAACTTGAACAATGTAAGGTAAAGAGAGAAGGAAATGTATGTTCGTCATGATACGGTATACACCATCCATGTGAGCACAGCACAAAAACTAGGCTGGTATGAAGCTACAGCTTGAATCTTCTGTACTGCTGTGGGGAAAAAGCACCCCTCTATGGAGCTAAGACACTTGGCTTTTTTATAGTTAAATCCTTAAGAGACACTGCAGACTGCAGACGTGGCTTGCTTTTATTCTATGAGCTATAGCTCTCCACATAATATATGGGTAAGTTTACTCAAAGCACTTTTTATCAGCTGTCAATCTGTTTCTTAGCCTGCATTTGGCTACATTTCAGGTAGCAAATGAGAAAGCAGGGATTATTCCAGGGCTTGTGCCCTGGGGGAACTAATTGTTGCTTATTACTTGGATGAATTGTATGTGGTTGTAATTGCTGTTCTTCTGTTATATTGTGGTATTAGTCACATACATACTGTGTGAAGCCAGATTTGTATACAATCGAGTCAGTTTACATAGAAGTGAATGGAATCTGTATATGTATGTGCCTATATATCTGTATATGTATGTATGTAGGTAGTCAGAAGTATTCATTTGAGAAGCTGTCTTAAGATGTCAACCCACGTTGAGACTTCTATGAAGCTACAATGACTCTTTAGTCTTGGAACCTGTTATATGCCTACCCATAGCCTACAGTAGGCTAAGCATTTTGTGCTACTAATTGTTTTTTTATCTACACACCCAATGCTGAATTCTTAATTTACAAGGAAAATTTACAGATATATTCAAGAAAAAAATCAACCATCTTATCATTATCTCCCTCCAAACTCCTTTGTGAATAAGTTTCTTAAGTTTCAATGAGAATTTTTGAAGATACAAACTATTTTATCCTTTCTTGTTTCCTTTTAACTCTGCTTCTCACCAAGGTTCGTTGACAGGTGGCAAGTAATGGTAGGGAAGAGAGAGAAAAAGAGGGAGAGAGAGAGATGCACACATTAACCAACAGTTTTCTTTTATGAACAAGAAAATTGGCCGTTTTCCTATTAGCATATGAGGAACCTAAGAATGTTCCTTGTTGTCAAGGCAACAGCTGTTCCTTGGGTAGCTGCAACAGAAAAGAAGCCAGAGCAATCTTCATAGGATCAAGTTTTTTATCATCAAATCGTAGAAAGGAACCTTGAGAATCTAGCCTATTCTCCTGCCTTTAGTTAAGGCCCACTAAAATAATGTGAAACCAATATGAAAAGAGAAAGTCCTATTTTAAATACGTCTAAAAGAACTTACATAGCTTTCTTTGATTGATTATTTGTAGTTGTATAGTGTGTATTGCAAATAAATTTTTTCAATAATTCTAACTTAAGTCTTTCACACTATCTCTTGAAATTCACTTCCTACAGGTCCATTCTCAGTGTAAGTAAACAATTGTATGCTTTCCTTCCTAAAAAAGTTTTACCTATACATGAAAAAAAAATAACAAAATTGTGTGTATTAAATTCCCCAAAGTAAATACTGCCAGATCCATTTAACTTTCCAGTCACTGGTATTGTAGAACATTTCTGGTGTATCCTATACCCTGCAAATTCATCTCTAATTATGGAATCCATTGCTGCCTCTTAACTCACATAGAAGGCTAAACACCGGTACCCCGAAAGAACAGGACACATGCAGCTGTCAATCTGTCTACTCAGGTATCCTGGATAAATTTTATCTATAATTGTGTTCCTTGTCAATTGTTTGTCTGTTTGTTTGAGGTTTTGGGTTTTGGTTTTTGTAGAATTTTTACACAGAATGCTAATGCAAATTTTTCTACCTTGTTTGAGCAGAGTCACTCATTCTACATCTGATACATGGGCAGCTTACTTTACTCTTCAAGTAGACAATTATGATTACTTTTCCTTATACCATCATATTTTCTTGGTTCTTTCTTTCAGGATGTACTTCTGCCCCTTCTGGACTCAGGCTGGCAGGTTTAATGAGCATACCTCCTAGTCCAATTCCATTTATTAATTTACATATGTTTAGTACTAGAAGGAAGAAAGCATCTTGGAATTATACACACACACACACACACACACATTGTTCAGCTAGGCACAAAATATTTATCACCTAGAGCCAAATATTTTCTTCTTCTTCTTGATCTCTTGTGTCACTTTGATCTATTACCTTAGTTCTTCAACCATGAATGCAATACTTTCAAGATTCTACATCACATGTCATAGAACTTCTACATTTCATAGCCACACACTAATAATTGCATTTTTAATAATCTCTCAACCCCTTTATATTATTCTACTATTCCTCATGTTGGAAGTGAAGGAACTGCAAATAGACTAATAGCATTAATTACTCTCAATTATGCTAGGCCCTATGTGAAGCACTTTATATCATCTTATTTCAGCTATTCAACAATCCTATGAAGTAGATATTTATTGTCAGCTCCACTTTATGAAAAAGGAAACCACAGCTTAGCATAGTCAAGTAACTTTCCTAAGATAACACAGCTACCGGATGTTAGAATCAGCTTTTGCGATAATGTGATTTATCTCTCATACTTTTAACCATTTTGGCATGAGTTCAGGAAAATGGTTCTCTACTTCTATGTTGCCGTAAGGCAGGTAAATTGTTAGAGTCTTTTTGGAAGATAATTTGGCTACATGAATCAAAGTCGTTACATAAGTGCATATTTTTGGCTCCAGTATTTATCTATTTATTTAAAAATTTATTTATTTAAAGATTTATTTATTTTGAAATTCAGGGTTACAGAGAAAGAGGGAAGCAGATTTTTCATCCATTGGTTCACTCCCAGTTGGCCACAAAGGCCAGCACTGGGTCAGAGCAAAGCCACAAGCCAGGAGCTTCATCAGGATCTTCCACGTAGGTGGCAGTGACCAAAACACCTGGGCCAGCCTCTACTGCTTGCCCCAAGACATTTGCAGGGTGATGGATCAGAAGTGGAGCAGACAGGACACTGACTGTTGCCCATATCGGATGTGGGCATTGCAGATGGTGGCTTTGCCCACTACACCAAGACATCAACTCTCCCCGACCCAATGTTAATTTTTTCATCTAATAAACCTTTGCATGGTATTTACTGGGTGACAAGCACTGCTCTAAACATTTTTAAATATTAAAATAAGAGCTTTTATGATAACACTAGAGGTAGATACTAGTATACTATATAGATACTATACTATTTTATAGAAAAGCAAACTGAGACACTTAGAAACTATAATTTTCCCAAAATTTCAAAAAGTCCATAAGGAGTGACACTTGGTGCAACTGTAGAAACTATGCCCTTAATCACTGCACTATAGAGTAGTTTTATTATTTGAATTAATTCTTGAGAAGTTATTATGAATAAACACAAGAATCTATAACTCCGCTCATATAATCAATAATGTGGAAAGAATTCTCTAACAGGGTAGGCTAGGAAATCCATCTGATACTCTGTAATTAATAAATATGTTTTTGTAAAGGAAGCAAGAATTAATAACATCATGTTTATGATGTACTGATGTCATATACTCATATATTGATAAGAAAGAATAGTAATTAGAAGAATATTATGGAATATTTTTATTTTAATTTTTAAAAATAGACACATATATGGGAACATAAAATAACTTAGAAGATTGTGAGAACAAAAAGTAAACAGTGGTCTCTTGGTAATGAGGTGATGGGTGATTTTTTCTTGAATATATCTGTATTTTTCCTTTTGTAAACTAATGAAAGTATACTTCTAAAGAGCTATCCTTAATTAAAAATAGTATTAAGAAAGTCTTGACAGCAGAATGGTTAAGTTTATATGAAAAGCCATACCAACAAACATTACCTGGAAATCCTGGTAAGCAAGCAAGAAAGACTACTCGATTTGCTTTAATTTTATATAATCTAATGACCACTCTTATATAATCTAATGACAACTCTTATCTTATGAATTTTAAAAACTGTGTCCTCGATGGATCAGTATGACAATCTATTTAACTCTTCTTGCTTTATCTTTGGGTAATGGAGGAGGTGTTCATGATTCTAGGATAGAGTAGTAGTTAAGTGCTAGGTTTCAAGCATCAGGCTTCTTTGGTCCCATTCCTAAATTCACAAGTAACATTAGCTGTGTGACCTCAAACTGTTTAGGCTTTATTTTACTCCTCATGATACAGGGATTTTGAGACAATAACCACGTGTAAAGTATGTATGTATGTAATGTTTTAATGTATATGAAAATAGCACTTAATTGTGTATCGAGCACATGGTAACTACTCAGTAAGTGACAGCTATTATTATTTGTTATTGTTCAAGTTATTATAAATATTGCAAAAAGTGCAAGAGAAATTCTCCAGTAATTGTTACCATATACTTTTTAAGTGATATTTTCACCTGTAAGTTTTAAAAAAAATTGTCAGGGAGTTGAGGAAATGTATGGTGTCATCTATGGCCAGGTCTATTTTAGTTTGTTGAATTGTCAATATTTTAAATGGTCTTTGTGGTTTTCTAAGTGCTGTCTTTATAGTCAATGGGATTACTATACCTGTTTTGGTTAAGAAATAGTAATTTTTACAAAAGTACTCATAGTCAGTTAATACTATGCCATAGGCTGCTTTTTCAAATCAAAATGTGAATCCTCATTCAGTCTAAACCTCTTCAAACAACCTTAGTATTTCAGTTGACTTCTGCCCAGTTTTCATGAGAAATGAATATCTGTTTAAATTGTATGTCTTATGGGCAAGAAAAATGTCCATTAAATAGCTTTGTTCTATAGCTCTCCATGGCTATTTCTAAAAGAGATTTCATCCATGTTTTCATTCCAGTACAGGTATTAATGCATACACGCACACACAAATACACACACACATGCATGCAGTTCTTTTCCACAAATGAAATTAAGAGAGTGATGTTCGCCACTTAATACTACTTCCTTGAACTCAAAAGAAAAAGCTTTGGAAAACCTCTTGCTGTCTTTTGCCAATAGAGTTGTTACACCAAAATCTGCCAGCTTTTCAACAGAATGTGGTCATGTGAGGCAAAGCAGAGCTGTGTTGTTACATGACTCTGCCTTTCCCCACTTCCCACATTAGTTGAGCCTCACTGCTCTTCACCATAATCCTCCCAGACCCACTCTCCACATTGGTTGAGCCTCAGTGCTCCAACAAGTAATGCACTTCTAACACAATGCAAGGCTGGTGGGAGCAGTGTGGGGAAAAATCAGATAACACAGACACAAGCTTGACAGACTTTCTTCCTTTCGAGTGGCACATTATGAACTGGCCAAGTGAAACATGAAGGTATTATCCTGCCTTATCTGGTTGAATGGGGCACAGCCTCCCTCATGGTAAGGTTTCTGGCTTGTTGCCAAAGGATTCTCACTTTAACTGTTTCACACATCCACCCAGGGTGCTACCTCCTCACCTCTTAACTGTTTTGGCTCTGCCTGTTCCAGAATGAGATATGAGAACAAATTAAGACCAGATAATGACTATTAAATGGGGTTTTTGAAAGAGCAGGTCAGTTCTGAAGAGAATTTAGAAATGTCTGCAACTGTACAGTGATTCTAGGGACTCCAAGTTACCGTAAAGAGAACCTGGGTTTTATGTAGTTTCTACCCCCATGTACCTCCACTTGACTGCCTTTAGTCTTCCAAGGAAATCTGTCATTCTTGAATCATTATCTCGTTTCTCAGAGAAGAGATTGTAAAATCCCCACACACAGGCATACACCCTTCAGACTCAGAGTCTACCAAAATGAATCTAGGATCAGGTTCTTGCAAGTAGCTTCATGAATAAATCTGACTATATAATTATCCACAGAATTCCTATAGCTCCATCAACAGACAAACTCAAGTACTAACTTTCTAAGTTTATGAACCACTCTTGCAGAGCAAAAAACACTTAAAGTTCAAGGTTCCCCTCACAGCTGACAGTGAACAATAAAATGTATACCATTATTTTTTATAAGGTACCCACAATGGGTGCTTAGTTTTCATTCAGTGTTATAAGTTAGTTACCCAGAAACAAAGGTTTAGCACTTCTTACAATATAATTGATCCTACAGAAAACCAGCTCACAAACTATCATCCAGTTGTTAGTTGCATCACTCCAAAGAAAATTACTTATGTTGTCTGGGGTTCAGTTCCCTTATGGATAAAATGCATTCTCTATCTCATAAAAATTTTCTAAGGATTAAAAGTAGGTAAGGAGCCTTACCCAACACCAACGTGGTATAAAGTAAACACCCAATTTGGGCTGGCTTGATTTCCTTTCTTAGTCCCATACCTTCATTGTAAACATCTAGATTTTGCATACCACTATACCAAAGATCTTAAGAAGACAGCAATCAGGATAATAGAAGAAGTCAATAAGGGCCCAGTCCCATTTAGCTATAAGTCTGTCATGTAAAGTAGTCCATCTATTAAAGGATTTAGGAAAGTAAATCCACCTCATCCTAGTATCTCATAGACATTTATAGGCATATTTCACTAAACTTACACAAATATCTGATGTTGAAAGAGAAAAAGATTCTCATCTACATTTTATAGGAACTTGAGTTTTTTTGAGGTTATGTGCTTCCAAGAAAACAATGAATGTGTGACCAAGATGTAATTAAGACCCACGATTTCTAATTCCCAGGCTCTGACTCCAACCTCAGAAAATGCTTCAATTCAATGAAACTAAAGGCACTTTGGTCTCTGGAATTAGATCCTGTTATCAATGACTTCCACATGGAAAGATCATTCCAAAATGTGTAATTAACCAAGAAAATGCAAATAAACCAATTTGTACCTGCTATTTAGAGGTAAGACACAGAAATGAATTGAGTTCCTTATTTGAAAATGTAACCTTTTTCCACTTTGAATATAGCTCATGCTCTCAAGTTATTCACATATTTTAACATATTAAATTTCCACTAAAATATTTTAGATCATCTGTGATCCAGTTATAAATGCAAAGTGTAGAATACAGAAAAAAAAAATGTCTTCAGGCTCAATGGGAAAAAAATCCCTTCTTTCAATGACCTATGGCAATTCAATTCAATAAACATCTTTTTGAAACTCCATTGTATACCAGGCTTGTGATGAGTGGAATAGGAGTCAAGCCCCCAGTCTGGCACAGTCAGAAACATGGTAAAATTTGGCCAATGTTACGATGAATGCACCCAGTAGAATGAATACTTATGTGTCCTTTCTAAAAAGCAGACAGTAATCACTATAACAAAAGAAATCTACAAAGACACAGTCCAGAAAGGCCTCTCAGGGAAAGAAATGTTTAAGCTGGATCTGGAAGACTATTATTCTCAAGTGACAGAGGTTCAATTCAAAGTAGTTTAAGAGAAAACAAAACAAGAGACTATGAGTTGGCACGGTAAGAACAAGGTCTTGAACACTCTGCCTCTCTCAGTATCTCTTTGGCTCTTTAATCATATCTCTTTGATTTTTTAATATATTATCCTCACTGTCTTCAACTGTATGTGGGCTTTCTCCCTGTGTTAGAGAACATGGTCACTGGCACCTTTGGAATAACATCATTCCAAAGTAATGACTCAGAGAGACTGTCTCTTGCCTATCAGCAGTCTAGGAAGAATTCCAGTTGACCCTACTTGGGTTTCCATCTCATCCTTACCAATCATTATGGCCACAAACATGGTGACATGTCTAGCCTGTATTGTGTGGCCAGAATTGCATCACTGCTGGGATTGTCAAGTGTTCCAGAAAATATTATTGCTGTGGGACAGAAGCAGGTTCATAAGGGAAGAAGGATTCTGGGTAAGCCAGAATAAATTCCACTGCAGTTTGGAAAGACACATTGGCCACCCTTAAGCTAACATGGAGAATAGATCCATTCCAAGTAAAAGAGACAGTTTAAGCAAAAGCAAAAAAGAGGGGAAACTGTTTGTGTTGGGGGAATGGTATTAGAGAAACATAATAGGAAGAGATTAAGGGTTGCTTAGGGTCGTATAGTCATGCATATTTTATCCCTATAAAGAAGTATGCACTACTTCTCTGAGCAAGGTGCAGACTTTTGAGTGTTGAGAATCAGATGGTATATTTTGCAAATACATTTTAGAAAGAGATTCTGATTATCTGATTATATTGTGGAGGATATACTGGACAAAAATGCTACTGACAAAGAGTTAGGTAGTAAAGGTATGAAGAGAATATTTTTATCTGAAAATATTCATTTCCTGGGTAGAACTTACTCTCCCCTTTGTTAGGTCCTGCTGAAAATGACAATCAGTGTCCCACACAACCTCAAGGCTGGACCAATGTTAATGATACATTTTCTAGGACACAGTGATTGGTTCATGGATAAGCACATGACTCAAGCAGAACCAACCTGAGTTCCTTCTTGAGGTTGAACACTTTGATCTTTTCAGACAGTATAGTCTAAATACGTAACTAACTAAACATGTAATATCCCACCACCATCCTACCATTACAGAGAAAGAGTTTGTAAAATTGAAGCTAACACAAGAGAAATAATAGAGTAGAAAGAGGAAGAGACAGAGCTCTGCTAATGTTGCTTTAGACCTGGATTGATGGGGTCCTTAAATTCCCAGTTATGTGTGGCAATATCATTCTTCTTATATTAAAGCTGATTTGAACTGCATCTCTTTTACTCAATAAAATAAAAATGTACTGATTCATATGAAAGGTACCTGATTTTTATTGAACACTTATTATATGCCAAGATGCACATCACCACATCAAAACCATATAATAACTGTGAAAAGTAGATGTTATGCTTGTCCACTGTACAGAGGGGAAAATGAAGATTCAAGTAAGTGAAGTAACTTCCAAAGTGTTATCGGTAACTATTAGAAGTTAGAAATGGCATTCTAAATGTTTGTTCACCTTGAAAACTCATGCCACAATAAATATATAGGTTTAATAGTAAAATCCATGCAAGATGAGATTATTCACAGGCAACCCCTAAAGTGAGAAGTAAAAGATGGTAGAGACGGATCCTCTCTATTCTAAAGCATCAGCATCTAAGGAGAAGCCTTTTCTTCTGCTAATCCCTCCACCAAGTCTCTTGTATGAATGCATATTCACCTGACTGTCACAACATTGTCATAGCTTCTCTGGCAGGCTTTATGAGATCTTCCATTCTCCAGCAGAACTGGTTACTTCAACTTTAGCTGAAGGCGGTGGCTTTACCTGCTATGCTACGCCAGCCCCAGACCATAGTTTGCACAATGTTCTTATTCAATAATACTGGGAACCAGAGAACAAACTTCAGACCTCATATAGACCTGGGTTGAATTTCCACTCACAATCCACTGGTTTTGATGCCTTGGGCAAATTGCCTAACTTATTGAAGCTTGTTTTTTTGAGAATAAAGCAGATAACTGGAAAGCTTTTAGTATAGACTGGCATGTAGAAAGCATTAGCCTTATGGTAGATATCACTTCTTTCTATTTCAACTTCCCAGACTTCAACACAGGTTGTGTGCCATTCATCTTTGAATCTCTGTTCCTTATCTCGCATCTGATAATCACTCAGGAAATGTGTGCTGGAGGCATGTATGAACAGATAAGGAGTCAGAATGGTTGATCACGTACTGTCTTATTTATTCCCCACTATTTCATAAAATGATGAGCTCTCCCATACTGTCTTTTTCAGCATCCCCCATTCTATTGGGCTATGATAACTGCTTTTTTTTTTTCAATTGATGTGGTGAGATACTTAATACTTGTTTACTATGCTGAGTACACCAACCACCACATTCGAAATGACTGGCAAAACAAATGGTTACATATTTCCTTTTCTCAAATATCTGGTATATATTCCTGATTTAGGGACATTTTCTGAAATCTATTGGTTTTTTGGAAACAATCAAACAGTTTTCTGGAAATAGGGGGGGATATTCAAAATATTGACACAAACTATAGGTTCAATATGGCATTATCCACTAAGAGACTTAAAGGTGGAAATAACTTTTGATTTAGCAATTTCACTTTAGGGTTTTACCCTAAAGAATTTATCAAATGCTAATATTGCATAAATTATGCTCATGGCTGTAGTATTTATTATGGTAAAGAAAACCAAAGTAAGCCAAGTATTCTTCAGTAAGGAATGGTTCAATAAATTATAGTATAATAGGTGGTTGTCCAGTCAGTATAATCATGTTTTAAAGATTATCTTATAACATAGGGAAATATATACAACATAAATAGAAAATCACAGCAGAACTACACATACAATCTATAGACAATTTTGTGAAATATATATGTAAAATATTGGAAGGTGATACAAAACTTCCAGCTTTCCAAATCTACTTTATTTCCTGAATTCACTTAATAAGAGGTTAGCTGTTAGGAATACTTGCATATTATAATAATGAAAGTACCTATCCTATCTCTGTGTGAAAGAATGAGAGATTATTTTGGTTTTATTCCATTTTTTAAATCATATACATTTGCTAAATTAAAATGCTTTCTTTATCATTAAAAAGTAAGATACAAATATTTCTACTTTTATAACAAGAAGAAAAAATGCTTCCTTTTAACTTCAGCTTTTAGGAAAGAAACAAGAGTTCCTCTGCATCCCTGTGACTCCATATCATTTCAAATCTGTTAAGGCAATTTTTTTTTCCTTTGCTGTCATGTGGGTAGAGTAATAACCCAAACTCAGTGTAACTAAGTAGTTAAGTAACCTCCCAATACCCCCATCATATGTCATTTAGAGTGTTCTCTCTTGTCCACACAAGGCCTCCATCTCTAAGAACTATACATGTTCCTTTCCTGATTGTCCTTGAATCTGTCCACTTCTTTTGATCACTACCACTAAGCTATTTTAGTTCACTCCCACCTTTCTCCTGGATTATTTCACAGCCTTTTAACTTTCTTGCCTTCTCCAAACCTTGCCCTCCTTCCCTTCAACTTATGTTACAAGCAGAGCAATCATCTTGAAGTGTAAATCTGACAAAATAAAAACTTTCCAAGACTTCCCATATACATTCTCCAGTGGATAGCTCCTTAATATGGCTCGTGATGGCTTCATTTTCAGGTATCTGCTTACTCCTGTGGTCTTAAAGCTATTGTTGTCATTGTCACACTCTGTAACCCAGCTCATGAAAACTCTCGCACCAGAATCCCTAGAATATGTCACTCATCTCTTCCTGAGTCCCTTCTGTCTGAGTCCCTTCTGTCTACAAAGCTTTTTCTTTCTTTCTTGCTCTTTGTGTCTAACAATAGCTTTCATATAGTTGTGCTCCAGGTCTTAGTGTGGATATCTCTTTCTCCAGGAAGTTTTCCTTGATCTTCCAGTCTGTGTAGTATCCCTTTTCTGCTCCCATGCACCTATCAAAGACACTCATTGTGTTTTATGGCATCATTAAAGTATGCCATGGTTATAGATGGTATAGAATATCATATAATATATTTTATCATGACTATGTATTTCTCCTTGACATGTTAATTACTTATTTATGGTTTTTCATTTGTTACTTTCTGGTGGTTTCCTAACTGTGCTGTAGACTCTTTAAGGAGAAGTATTCAATTCTATTAAATTCTGTAGTCACGGTAGTAGGAGCTCAATCATATCCTGGAATGATTGAATGGACAAATTAATGAGGGCATCTCAAATATAAATAAAAAGCACTCGGTTTGCCCACTAATCCTCGAGTTAGCTCAAATAGAGGGTGGTCATTATTCCAAACATGAGCAGAGTTTCACTATCAACAGGAAGATAAGCAAGTTTTCTAGAAGATATACTCTATAGTCTGGAAATGAAAGATTTCATTAAGAAATGAAGTAAGCAAATGCTCATTAGTAAAACAGTTCCTAGCACTCTT